CAAAAATGTCCCGAACACTCTGGACTGACGAAAGCAATTTGCCGCTCAGACGGCCTCCGAGTCAAAATTCCAAAATCACAAAACCTAAGGCAACACAGAAATCGCCTAGCATCACGAACATCGGAGGGTACCTTGAGTATTCGGAGATTGTCGCCAATTGCCACGTACTTGAAAATCCGAGGCCATAAGACCCCAAGCGAGCAAACTCGGTCTATCAAAGATATATTCAACAAGGCAACTCCGAACTCACGAATAACGACCTTCAAGCCTAAGTAAACTCGATGACTCGGAGACTGTCATCATTCGCCATACGCTGGGAAACTAGAGGCCGTAAGACCCCGAGCGGGAAGACTCGGTATAACCAGATATATTCTATATAGCAACAAAAACTGTAAGACCTCAACAGGTATGACAAACTGTAAGATCTCAACAGGCATGACAAACTGTAAGACCTCAACAAGCATGACAAACTGTAAGACCTCAACAGGCATGAAAATTTTGTAAGACCTTACTACAAGCGTAAAACTCAATCCCGAAGTTTAGGCTAAACGTCGGATTTGTAAGAATCCCAAAAGGGCATACCTTAGGTGTAGACGCCTAAACTATCACTCGGGATCAAAAATGGATCCGGCCAAACACATATGACTACGGTCAAAACGGCTGCTCCAACAAAATTAACGCAACTCGGGGATGCCCGACTGTCGCTAACAAAATTGCAGGCCATTACTTCGAATATACTTCGAAAAGAACTGGTTAAAATAGGCTTCCCTCAATAGGCAAACGAGCTTCGACCATGTCAGCTCCAAAAACACAAGGCTTCGAGCTACTTAGCCTACAAGTTAAGAACCTTCCGAGGTGCTCGTACATCGCCGCTAATGACTTGAAATCGAGGTTCTTCCAAAACCGACGGCGGGTCAGGCAAAATTATTTCAAAAAGACCTTAACTAGAGGAAAACAAAGCCTACAAAATGCCCACAGGCAAAAGCGTAAGAGCCATTATCGCCAGCCAAACGAGCATCTGGGCCGCACACTAAAATGTCTCAACGACTAATAACGTAAGAGCCACTATCGCCAGCTTGAAAATTGAAAACTTGAGGATTAATATGAGCTCGAGTCGTAACCCGATTCGGAGACCAGATCCAAAGTAGTTAACTTCAAAATGCCCACGGGCAAAAGCGTAAGAGCCATTGTTGTCAGCCGAACAAGCCTCCGAGCCACGCACTTAAAAGGTCGCTTGAACCTGAAGCACAAGGGCCATCGTCACCTGCCCATACAAGCATGAAAAAACTTGAGGGTCAATTAAAGCTCGAGTCACAACGCGACTCGGAGACTAGACCCGAGATAGTTGAAACACAAATGCCCAAGGGTGAGGAATAAGGACAATCGCCGTCCGCCCATGCAGGCGTGAGAGATCGGAGGTCAGGTAAGCTCGGATCAGGGCCCAACTCGGAGACTAGGCCTAAACAGTTGGGCAAAGCACAAAGGCCCTGACGCCTACTCGCATAAAAATTGCACTTAAAAGCCTCCGTGCCTATCTAAGTGAGCTCCGGATCCACCAGGCTCCCGTCGGCCACCAAAACCAGCCCGCCTGGTCGAAAGCAATGCAAAAAAAGATACAACGAAGATAAAGCTTCAAGTTTCTTTCCTTTTTGCAAGCATAAAAAGTGCGGCCTCATCCACAAACATGTTCTGCGAATAGCAGATACAAAATGGCAACTACATAAGACAGAGTAACCCCTAAGAGGGTGGAAAAATCCTTATGACATACATTGTAAGAACTGCAACGATTCAAAACTGACCGAAGACGCCAACTAATAGCACCACCTCCGGCCTCGAGGCAATACTCAACCCCGAAGACCTCCGTCATAGTAAGACGGCGCTCCAGAGGGCCAACAACGCCTTCACCATCACAAGACTGGCACGCAACTTCGAAGGTGGCCAACGAAAACCAGTCTGTGAAGGAATACGCGTTTTTGAACAACGCTCGTACAAAACAGGCTCCGGGTGCTGTCCAAGATGGTCCGAGCATGAGTGAGCCTCCGTCCAAAGGCTGCCTTCAAGAAATCACCGGTGTCCCCTGTCCGCGAGTCCCCGAGAAAATTTCTTCTCGAGGGATATTATGAGGCCCAAAAATATTATCCACGCTTCCACACGAAGTCCAGGTTCTGGCGGACAAAGGTTATTGGCCTTATTCGGGTTCAGCCCGAGGAACCACGAAAGGCCCCGCGTGAAGCCGTTTCCATCTACCGGAGGCCGAAAGAAATACTCGCATCCGAGGTTAGTATTACAGACGACAAAACAGGATCGTGCATTCAGAGCTACCACAAACATAAAGAAATACAACAAGTATCAAAGGCAAAAATCAAGGAAATATCTTTGTATCTCCCCGGGTGTATGACCTCAAAGACAATATCTTCCAAGTCTAATCCCCTCGGAGACCTCACCCCAATCCTCCCGGAATGGCATCTTCAAAAGGAAAGGTGTAGAAGAGGAGGGCGAGGGAGAAAAGCAAAATGACGAAGGAGAGGCCGGAAGAAGACAAGAAGTGGCTGACTGAAAATTTTGGCTAGTACGAACTCCGCCAGTACTGCCATTATAAAGCCACTTCTTGAGACGTTGCCTCGGCCCGGGGGCAACAGCCAGTAGAGACTGTCGACATACCCCCTAGAATCCAAAAGGGGTGTAACACGCCAAGCCGAGGAAGGGGGTGAGCAACGGTGTATAATCTGAGCCCCCTCTTGAGCAGCGGTGCATAATCCGAGTATTTCCCCGGGTCGGAGGAAATCCGCCCCTACTTCATCACCCCGAGCCAACAAAAACAACAACAGCAACAATAACAACAACAACAACATCACAACGGCACAACTTCGTCCAACTGAAGAAGGATCAAGAGTTGCGCCATGACATATATGACATAAGATCCTGAGGTCTTGGCCTCAAACATAACGAGACAGCAAAAACTAAAAATGGCAAGAAAGGAGGAAAGGATGGCTATCAAAAGAAGTTTGAATGAAAAACTGATCACAAGAAGCCCTATTTGTAGGGGAAGGGCAAAGTAACCGACGTCGCCATTACCATCCTCGAAAAGCGTAACAGCAGGCGCAATCAATGCGTTCATGAAAGCTGAATCAATAGCAATAATACGACCCCGAAAAACGAGGAGTCGCGACATTTTGGATGATCCTGGAAAAGCAAAAGGGTGAAACGCCTCAACACTTTTAAAAGAGGTTGCACCATTAGCGCGACGTCACTACGGAAACCCGAGAAGTAGGGTGTCAAAATCATTTCTTATCGCTTCCCTCTAAGAAACGCGAAGACTATCTGTGCATGGTGAAATTAGAAGACCGATTTCTCATTGACAAAATGCTTGAGAAGGTCACCCCGGAGGCCCGGGGCCTCGAGTCAGTCACTTCCCTCAAGATCTGTCAACATCCAGCCAAGGATAACATCGGCCGAAACCTCGACAAACGCAGGAAGCTCCCGAAAGAATGCATTCGGGGTCGATTAAGTCTATTTGAGCAGCTTAACATCGGCCCACGCATACGTCATAAAACAAGTTGGTTGTCTCATCCCATTTCCTTTATCACACAATGTATCTTGTACTAAGTTTGGGCTCCCCCTCTTATAAAAGGGAAGTCGTTAAACACCCTGTAGAGCAGAGCTCCAACTATCTCCACAAGATCAATAATATCTCTCTCTCTCTCTTTATTCTCTCTAACTTGCTCGTTCTTGCTAGCTCGAGGCCACTCGCAGTATTTATTAGTTTCTTACTTGTTCTTTGTTTCTTGCTTGGTATTGGTCATAAAGAGCCTTGTTCGATCATATCCTAACTATTATCCCATTTTCAACCACCCTCGATAGCTCGAGATCGAGCCAAGATATCGACCTCGAGGTCCTCCATCGACCGGTCCGAAACCAGGGCAGCAAGCCCCTCGGTTTGATTACTGCTCCGCTTTAGCCGTATTACTTCGTTAAATTTCATACTCTTAGCATCAACTGCTCTAAATAACTAGCATAAAAATAAATCACGTATTTTTAGAATCTCATTTTACAAATTTAATGGTCGTTACCATTTTCACGGTAAACACCATATATTTAAGCTTGTTAAAAATTTAATTTTTACCATCCAAATGGATTTGGTTTGTTGAACTAATATTTGGGTTACAGTTACTAATTCGAAAATTAACTTAAAAGCATGAGAAATCTTTTTTAAAAATTAAATAGTAAGTTTGAGAACCTATTGGAGTTGGATGTTGAATCTTAGCCTATTATTTTGGGGCTAGTTGGTTGTAAATTAAAATATGGGCTATAAAAGTAAAAAGTAGAGATCCCAGTTGTTCTTATGTGAAATTTTATCATAATTAAATTACAATTACAATTTTGTCCAATATAAAATTTAGTTTTAAAAGGTAAAAAAAGCGAATGACATTTCGCTAAGGGCCTTAGTGCTTTTAATATAATAATATAATATAGATAGATACATTTTTCTACTAATTTTATAAGTGATTGAACTTCTACAATTTTAATATGATTTTTGTTTTTATTATTCATATGCTTTATTTTTATTAATTTATAAAATATTTAAAACTAAATATTCATGCGGCTTTACGCCCTACACCTCGAGGCTTACACCTCTGTTATGTATTTATGATAATCAAAAGAAAAAAGTAAAGGAAAAAACGTAATTTATACTAATTGAGGTCATTTATGACATTTAAAAGTACATATAATGACCCAACTCATTTTTATCAGTAAAAGAACACTTTGAGTATTTATACCAAACAATAAAAGCATAATATGTGTGTGCACATAAACTTCTTCCACTTAATCATGGTTAATTCATATGTTTTCTCACTTCATCAAATCATTTAACCATGGTAAGTAGATAAGGTTTAATGCAAATATTCGACCTTTTATTCTTGTAAAAAAAGAAGAAGTTATTTCTCAATCCCAAGAGATAAATAAATCACAACAAAAAGTTACCGTCAAACAAAGTCGAAATGAGTGGCAGTAAAATAGGAAGTAACCGCAGCGTACCCTAACATTTTCACCGTAATCCTCGACGCAACAAATTGATCTCGCTTTTGGTTATTTTTTCAAAGTACGCCTTCCCTCTTCCCTGCTCGTTGCCTTTCATCGCTTTCGCTCTCGCTTCCCAAGTAAGTTCATGTCGTAATATCCTAGGGTTTCTGAATCTCCTTTCACCTATTTGACTAATTTTTCTTCTGATATACATTTGATCGTTTATTGTTCTTTGATTTATGAGTAACTATATTATTTTCCGATGTTTGAATTTGTGGTTAATTGACTAGATCTGTGTGTAGCTGTTTTGATTTATGTGCGTGCATGATTTGATCTATTTGAATTGATTTATCTGTGTAGCTGTTTTGATTGATGTATGTGTATGATTTTGATCTATGGTTTTCTATTTCGATTTTTATGTTTATTTATTTATTTGATAATGGTAGTGTCCGGACCATTTGATGTTTATTTTTTTTTATCACCTCCACTATTCCACCGGTACCTACTACCGTCCACCAATACAAGTACCAGATAACTCTGGTTGCCAGAGCTTAGGCAGATGGAAATAAATCATCTAGTGTTTTTTCGTCTCTGATGGGATTTGAAGCTATTTGAGTTTTGATGCTTACAGAGTTTGCTACTTTCAGATTGGGAGTTTAGTTATAATTGGTGTGATATGCTGGCATGCTGCGGACTGTCTTGATTTCTTTGTTAAACAATGAGGATAAGAAAAATGCATATCCCAAAAAAACGAGGATGAGAAAAAAAGATTCCATGATTATTTTTTGGGGGGAATCGATCATATTGGAATGTCACATTGGCTAGCTGAGCTACTCAAACAAGGGAATCCTAACTGATTAATTAGACCAATAAATGGGACATGTCTTTTTCAGTTAGTCAAGTGCTTTGTGTTGAAGATGTATATAGTCAAGGAATTAAAATGTTTTGCTCGCTCTAATGACTTAATATTTTTTTTCCAACGACTTAAGCTATTAATAAAATGTCCAGAATTCAACATGGTATTAGATCAAATAAGAGGTCCTGAGTTCAAATCTCACCGCTATTAAGTATGATTCTGATATATGCTTGGCTGTCGATAGCAGCTCCCCATGACCTTTGGATTTGTTTTTCTGGTTCAACTATTCCATGCAATCGATACATGTTGGGGGATGTCATTGCTGCAATACTTTTCGTTAATAATGACTGAGTCAATTGGAGTCCATTGTTTGAGAAGGTGTAAGCTAGCTTGTGATTAGAGATTCCGAAGACATAGCTTTGGGTGTTATTTACTCAAGAAATTTTTCCTTTAAATGGTCATAAGTTGAACTTCTCTGTTGAATTAATACAAATATGATGGTAGTGTGAGACTTGCAACTAGAGATGATAGTTTGGCAGGTAGTGTGCTCACAATGCTTGTAGTTCCGTGCCTGTCAGACTTCTTTTCGATTGGTCTATTCCTGTCAGATATTTAGTCGGCTTAAACTAATTGTAGGACTGATTGTGATCAGCAAGCTTCGTAAATAATGTTGGTATACTGGATCTTGAGACATGTTTCAAAATGTAGGATGTATGCATTTTTGCTATTATATCTTGCTTGCTTTGTGGGTGCATGAACCTATTTGATGAAAGGATGTAAAAATCTTGAGCTCGTAGTTGTGGAAGTATATAGAGCCTAAATATATGTGCATATTGCACTCAAGTCAGTGTATCTTTGTATGAACTCATGGATATCCTCTCTTCTGTGTATGCTTTTTTTTTCTCTTCTGTCTTTTGCATGGTCTCTTTATGTGACATGTTGTACACGTCAAACATCCCCTTTCTGATGTTTGTATACAAGATCTTTTACCCATAAAAGAAAAAGGGGGAATAAGGAAGAGTCAGATTATCATTGCTTCTCAGTTATACTGTTTAAATTTATTTGGTTGATATGCCTATTAGCACATTTAAAATGAAAGGTCCTTTACTAGTACTTTCTAAACAATTGGATGGTTCATTTTCTACTTTCTGATTGATTTGTCATAGTCTTGAGTCTTGACTTTCTTTCAGAACTATTTGTCTGATTGATATCTTTCTTGCATTAGAGGAAACCTATCTTTTTCACTCCCCTCTCTCTTTATGTGCCATAAAACATGATGAAAGGTCAAACAATTGTCTTTGAATGGTAAAATAAGAACAAGAAGTGACAAGTTGTGCCTGTTACAAAGAGAAAGGCCGCATGCTGAAAAACGTCTTCTATGCTTATAACCACCCTAATTAAAGACCCATGGTATTTTATTTGTCATGCGATTTTACATTTAAAATTACTGAATGACGCAGGATGTCAGAAACACCCTTCTATCCCCGGGAAAAGCTTCTTGAGAAGCAAAAGTATTTCCAGAGTGTTCACAAGTATACACACCTGAAAGGTCCAGTAGACAAGATTACCTCAGTTGTCATTCCACTTGCTTTAGCAGCTACAGCATCCTTCATGATCGTGAGTTTCTGTCAGGTTAAATGGTAGAGTCTTCTCTTTGTTTTCAAGAATCAACTGTAATTAGTTTTTGGATGACGTTTCAGGGCAGGGGAATCTACAATATGTCCCATGGCATTGGCAAGAAGGAATAAATGGTGGCTGCTGTGCCATTCCTGTGGAAGCTGAAGCATAAAAGAGATTTTTTGGAACATTTTGTGTTTTTTCACTTTGAAATTTCTTATGTTCTGAAGCTAATAATTGGTTAGATGCAGAAAACACAGCCTGCAGACATATGGCCTATCCGATCACTTGCTTAACACATTGATTTTTCTGTTTGGGGAATTTTCTTTATTGTTATAAGAAATGACTTCTTTTTCATCAATTAACTGCCACCAGTCGAAACATTGCACTAGTATGTTCAACTTGAGATGACAGTCGATGAGGAAAGTGCAATTTCCAAATCCTAATATTATAAGATATGCATCTCAAATAATTATAAATAATTATAGGTCTATGATGTATTAGTGTCAACAGTTGATGAAGAAATTTATTAGCAATATTGGTCATGTTTAAGTATTTGAAAGTTGCAGTTGCTCTGAGCTATTTTCACTTCAATCATAGAGACAAGGAACCAACATCAAAGATCAAGCTCATAGGACAATTTGAACTGACCTCCAGTACTAAGTTCCGTTGGTCTTAGATTTTGGCTACCTTTTGTTAAAAAAAAAAATTGAGAACATTGTTTGTTTGTGGAATATGATCAGTTTTTGAAAAAAAATGAATTTTTCTTCAAGTTCCCAAAAGTTGGTTTGGGAAGGTTTTTGGGTAAAAATATTATTCCCTCGCAAAAGTTTTAACTTTCTTTAAATAAAATGCATGGCCCCACACAACTTTAATTCCAAAATTATTTTTCAGCACAACTTCAAAAACACTTTTTCAAGTTTCAATCAAATCTATGTCCAAACACTAGCTAAAACTTGAGACAACAAAATAAACTTATAGAAAAATCAGGGCCTCTTCCTCTTCAAAGTCTACGTGCAAAAATTGATAGTATTTTGAAATAAGATCTGATATAGTTCCTACAAAGAGGAGAAAAGTAATTTTTGAATCGTGTTGCTTACTTTCTACTTGATAAAATCAGAGATTATATAAGATTGCAAGTCCAATCTAACGGACAAGTCAAAAAGAGCATGGTGGAAATTAAAGGTAATATTATCCAAGGTTATAGATAAACTACACGAGAAGCATGTTGGGACCAAACACACACGCAAGTATACATGATTGTCAAGTAATAAAGTGACTCGAAAGTCGGATGTCGAACTCACAGAGACTTAGATTGATCGTTAACTAAGCAAACTAAAATCAATTATTTAAGAGTAATATTTTTCTATTAATCTACTATTGCGGAAAATAAGCAAGTAACAACTAAATTATCAAGAATGCGATTTTGTATGACGAAATTTTACTTTAGAGGAGATGAAAGTTCCAGGGTTGTGGTTGGTTTATCAATCCTATTAAGTTCAATAATTACATTCGTTAATCCAGATTATCTATGGTTGCTAATTAACCAGATCCTTTATATGAATAGCATGTTCCCACAATACTACTCGCATGCCCACAATATATCAACCATATATTCCTATGGTATTGAGTCTATTGTGAACGAATATAATACGGTATTTAATTAAGCAAGACTGTTAGGTATATTCCTATCCTAACCGCGAAATCTTCCCACGAGCCACGGGTTCAGAAACAAGCTCTCTCTAATTCTACTCTAATCTAAACACGACTTTCCTAAGCATAGCATAGATAGTAAATAGAACTCAACTGCTGGCCAGACAATTAAATAATTATGCACAGAATTAGAAAAACAACCACAAGATGATAATCCGAAATAACGAAGATGTAATTAATAAACGTTAATAATTATGTCAACCACAACCCTAGAACTTGAAGTTTAGTTCCACATAAACATGGTAGCAAAACAACAAATCATCAAGACAAAGTAAAGATTACTAAGTTTGATGGAAGAAATATGGAATCTGATGAATTTCTGCCTCCACGGTGGCTCTGTGCTTTCCCTTGATCTAATCTCAGGTCTCACTAGGCCTAAGATGTGTCAAAAGTTCCAAAAATATCGTTTTGATATGTATTTATACCAAGTAGGGTCGGGCCTAGACGAAACACCCTTTCTTGCGCGAAATAGGACTCTGGATCTATAAAATTTGTACAGGCGCGCCGCACCTTGCGGCGCGCTAGTGGAGATTATCAGCAGCCTTGCATTTTCTTGTCAGCCCGGCTTTTACATTGCTGCGCTACACCCTGCGGCGCGGTAGTGAGAATTTGCGAAAATGCAAAACATAAAAGTTGTAGCCCTTTCAAATAGCTTTCCAAGGGTATATTGTGGAGCTCAAATGGAGTTCTGAGCAAAAAGTTATGTGTATTCTACTAAACAATGCGTCATATGCCCGCTCGATTCTTCGTTTCGTTTTTAACTATCATCCGTTGATCCTCGAACACGATCCCGACTTAATTCCTTGGGCTTTTACTCAGACTTCAAAGCTTCAAATCACTTGAATTCATTCTGTAACGCCTACATAGATCGGAATCACTCCTACAAAGCATAAAACACATATTTAGTGCAAAACGCTAGCAATAAAGCTCAAATTCAATTAAAGTGCAGTAAATTAGAGCGTAATAAGCGATTAAAATACACTATTATAGCCTATCATCAAAGCCTATGATACTGAATTTCCCTCTTAACGAATTGTGTTATTGTTATATGAATTGATGACCTACCTATCTAACATCAAACGTACAAAAATACAAACTCATAGGGAAGGTTCCATGCAATACCTCATTTCTTAGATTTCACCTAAAAAGGGAATACAAACGTTTCACTAAAACGTGACTTTTCGGTCAAGTTCTTAAAAATAGCCATTAGAATTTTAAATTATATAATAATATTTCTTGAAATTTCATGACAATAACTATTTTGAATTCTAGAGGTTGAAAAGTAGTTATTTCTGAATACTACACAAATATATTTTGTTATTGTTACTGAAATGTTTTTTTTTTTTAAAAATAGCAGCATAAAGAGTAAGAAAAGGTGGTGAGGAAATAATACAAAATGAGGATTTCAAAATATTGCTTGTTTGGGTCGACTTTATGTAAAAATAGCATCGGCTAGCCAATTTTCGGACTGACCATTCAAAAATAGCCAGCGTTTGCAAAGTTATTAAAAAATAGCCACTATTTTGCTGCAACACGAAAAGTTCCAGCATAATATACTAGAGATTGGTGCACCTGTGTATGAACTTCCAGCATATTATGCTGGAACTCCAACACGCAGAAAGTTCCAGTATAATATATTGGAGATTGGAGTCTAATCTCCAATATATTATGCTGGACATGTATATTATACTGGAACTCCAATATAATATATTGGAGTTCCAGTATAATTTACTCGAACTCCAGTATATTATACTGGAGTAATTTTCCGAATTTTGAACAGTGTTTTCGTTCAGTTTTATCTTTACATAAAAGGTGGCTTACTTTTGAAACGGTGACTATTTTTGAATGAGCACTTGTAAATCTAGCTATAATTTTCGTTCCTATACCATATAGGAAACTATATTACCAAATATGTTCATAGTTTGCATATTACCCTTCATGCAAATAGTATTTCTACAAAATACAGACGATGCATTAAATAAAGAATCATTGTAGCTGTAGGATTCTTTATTTAGGCGCGCTAAAATTGGGGAGTTAAATATTCTTCTAGATCTTCCACAACGCAACTAAAGCACATTCATAATTATCATCGGCTTCGTTTCAAATTTTTCATACTCTGTTTTTGCGATACACTCTGTTTCCAGAATTCTCTCTACGTCTCTCTCTATCTCTGAATCCCAAATTTCAATAATATAAGACGAAAGGAAAAGGGAGCAGCAATTCTACCATTGACAACTATTAAAAAGCTTTGAAGCTTTAAATTCGAATTTGGGTTTTCAAAAATTATTATTTATTTGGGTTGGGTGTTGTTGCAAATAGTTGGGAATATGGTTTAGAGTTTATATCTCAATTTTGAGGGGTTTTGGTGAAGATTAGACTTGGTTTTGACTGAATTTTAGATTGAAACTCGAAGAAGAAGAAGACATGACATACATTATATTGCAGAAATTGTAGAAAAATTATAGACTGTTGTTTATTTATTTTTCTTTTATTCATTTACCTATTGTATGAAAGTTGAACAACATTGTATAAAAATTATATTTAAGTGGTATTATATTGTAGTTATATATAACTTAGTAGAAATAATGTACGAAAATTGTAGATAAGTTGTATAATATATAATTAGTTGTATGAAAATTATTTTTACTATGTATAAATCAGATACAAAATATACAAAAGACATATTGTATAAATTTTATATAAAATTTGTATGTAAGTTTCATGTTATTGTAGTTGTATTTAACTTGGTGGAAATAATATGTGAAAGTTGTAGAAAATTGTAGATAAGTTGTATTCCTCTATAACGGGAGATGTTGGTATCAAGTAACTTTAGTGTTCCAGACGAACATGCATGAAAATAAAGATAAATTCTGTTATGAACAGTTTGTAGAAATTTTGTAGATAATTTGTAGAAATATTGAAATTCTGTATTTTCATATTAATTTTTCAAATGATATGTAGTTTTATGGTAGAATAAATGTAGAAAATAAGCCATTGTGAGTCTTATTTGACTCATTCCTCACATTCAACCTATTCTACAAATTCACGCCTCTTTAAATACAATAAAACCATACTTTCTTGAATTTAAAGGTATAACAATATATATAACTTAAAAAGTCTTCTCCGTTGCACAAGTTAGCTCCAAGACAGACGAAGTGGAATAACAAGCTCCCATCAAAACTTTTAAGGCAAAAGCACAAAGCTCAAAAATAAATAAACAATAGAATACATTTTTTCTACAATTTTTCTACAATTTTGGCAATATAATGTATGTCATGTCTTTTTCTTCGAGTTTCAATCTGAAATTCAGCCAAAACCAAGTCTAATCTTCACCAAAACCCTCAAAATTGAGATATAAACTCCAAACCATATTCCCAATTATTTGCAACAACACCCAATCCAAACAAATAATGATTTTTGAAAACCCAAATTCGAATTCAAAGCTTCAAAGCTTTTTAATGGCTGTCAATGGTGGAATTGCTGCTCTATTTTCCTTTCATCTTATATTACTGAAATTTGGGATTCAGAGATAGAGAGAGACGTAGAGAGAATTCTCAATTCTTTGCAATAACATCCAATCCTCACAAATAATGTCGTTTGAAAACCCAAATTCGAATTCAAAGCATCAAAGCTTTTTAATGGTTGTCA